TCACCCCTGAAATTTCATAATGAACTATTCCAACCTTTGAATTGGACCAGTTCAAATGTGTCTTTAGGGGTGAATGAGTAAACCAGCATGACCTGCTATCAACATTTGACCAGAACAACACTGCTATTTACACACACTGCATGCGCAGTACAGTAACAACATATGTACATCACTAGTACTGATGATCACCTTGCATAATATTTCAGATGATTATTTCATATACAATTCAATTAGAATATCCGAGGTGTACTGTACATGTATAGATTTAATCAGTACACAGCTATAGCACGGTTTGGCCAGGACACTTCCATTGACCAGTTAGAGAGGTCGGGTGGTGCAGAGGATAGCGATTTTGACTTTCACCAAGGCGGACAGGGTTCCAATCCCTGATCAAACGTGAAAAGGTATCATGTCACCTGCCCATCCATGTGGGTTTCCTCCAGGTACACTGGTTTATCCCAACTTAAGACCCCCCCTCCCATGCTAACATCTGGGCCAACAAGATTGATTAATATAAGTTGAACTATCTTGTTTCATAATTGTTGTAATATAAATAAAGTTTATATTATTAACCACTCTTATAATAAGAGCAATGGTATAAACGCTCTGAAGTTCTGGGTTCGAATCCCGGTCTGGCACCACTCAATTTTTACACTCACAACACTACTCTTGATTTATGTTTTGTTCTTGATTATTTCTCATAAAAGTCGCAGGAATGATTTATCAAAGCTTTGGTCATGTCATAAAAAAACAGTTTCCAATACTTAGTTACAGTTTTTGACAGTGGTACGGGGATCCAGTACTAAGTTACAGTTTTTGACAGTGGTACGGGGATCCTTAATATATTTCTTGAACAGTTCTCGAATACTGAATATCATAAACCAATACCCAAGTTTAGTATTAGCTTTGTAATATGAACTACAGTAAACTTAACCTGTGTAATATACCCGTGCACCATCCATGTGCGATCTTGTTCTGTATGTCGGTACTTGACAAGTCCTCCGGTGCAGATCATCCACCTATATATATACGGTATATACTTAGCCTACCCTATAGAGTACTCTTTCAACTTTCGACTTGCAGTACAAGTGGTCACATTCCAGACATATTCTTGTCTATGATCCAGCTGTTCAATTCTATAGACATACATCAATACGACAGAATCCTAGCTATGGCAAAAAAATAGTGGATCCATACCTACCTATGTTTTCAGTACATCTCCTCTAGATATGCAATTTATTTCTATTTCAATGTTTTTCTGATTTAGGGATTATAACTCCTAATGGGAATGGGACGAAAGTTTCAACTTTCAATATATTTATATGTAGAGAGGGAAAAAACTTACCATTGAAAGGCATTGCAGGCTAAGTTACTGTTATGTCAAATAATTTGGTTTCAAAATGTTTGACCACTGGTCATTGACTGTATAATTTCTCTTGATTCAAATGGGAAAAAAGAGATGTATATTATATTCATGTACATATATGATACATATTATACATGTTTTGTTTTTTGCCATTGAAGGGTTTAAAGTGGTGGGGATCAGAGTGACTGGAAGTCGTTATAGTGGTGGGGATCAGAGTGGTTGGGAGTCGGTATAGTGGTGGGGATCAGAGAGGTTGGGAGTTGTTATAGTGCTGGGGATCAGAGTGGCTGGAAGTTGTTATAGAGGTGGGGATCAGAGTGGCTGGGAGGTGTTATAGTGGTGGCGATCAGAGTGGGTGGGAGTTGTTATAGTGGTGGGAATCAGAGTGGCTGGGAGTTCTTATAGTGGTGGCGATCAGAGTGGGTGGGGGGTGTTATAGTGGTGGCGATCAGAGTGGGTGGGAGTTGTTATAGTGGTTGGGATCAGAGTGGTTGGGATTTTTTATAGTTGTGGGGATCAGAGTTGCTGGAAGTCGCTATAGAGGTGGCGATCAGAGTGGCTGGAAGTTGTTATAGCGGTGGGGATAAGAGTGGCTGGAAGTCGTTATAGTGGTGGGTATCAGAGTGGCTGGGAGTTCTTATAGTGGTGGCGATCAGAGTGACTGGGTGTTGTTATTAGGGCTGTAACGATATATCGATACTACGATATATATCGGTATACATAGTACATACCGACTATACAATACACGATATGTGAACTTAGTATCGTGATATCTTAAATTACTAACTATGAAAGAGTATAACTCCTAATCGGAATGGGACGAAAGTTTCAACTTTCAATATATATATATCTGTAGAGAGGGAAAAAACTTACCATTGAAAGGCATTGCAGGCTAAGTTACTGTTATGTCGACTAATTTGGTTTCAAAATGTTTGACCACTGGTCATTGACTGTATAATTTCTCTTGATTCAAATGGGAAATAAGAGATGTATATTATATTCATGTACATATATGATACATATTATACATGTTTTGTTTTTTGCCATTGATGGGTTTAAAGTGGTGGGTATCAGAGTGGCTGGGAGTTCTTATAGTGGTGGCGATCAGAGTGGTTGGGAGTTGTTTTAGTGGTGGGGATCAGAGAGGTTGGGAGTTGTTATAGTGGTGTGGATCAGAGTGGCTGGGAGGCGTTATAGTGGGGGGGATCAGAGTGGCTGGGGGTTGGTATAGTGGTGGGGATCAGAGCGGCTGGGAGTTATTATAGTGGGGGGGATCAGAGTGACTGGGAGTTGTTATAGTGGTGTGGATCAGAGTGGCTGGGGGTCGTTATAGTGGTGGGGATCCGAGTGGCTGGGAGTTGTTATAGTGGTGTGGATCAGAGTGGCTGGGGGGTGTTCTAGTGGTGGGGATCAGAGTTGCTGGAAGTCGCTATAGAGGTGGCGATCAGAGTGGTTGGGAGTTGGTATAGTGGTGGCGATCAGAGTGACTGGAAGTCATTATAGTGGTGGGAATCAGAGTGGCTGGAAGTCATTATAGTGGTGGGGGTCAGAGTGGCTGGGAGGCGTTATAGTGGGGGGGATCAGAGTGGTTGAGAGTTGTTATAGTGGTGGGTATCAGAGTGACTGGAAGTCATTATAGTGGTGGGGATCAGAGAGGTTGGGAGTTGTTATAGTAGTGGGGATCACAGTGGTTGGGAGTTGTTATGGTGGTGTGGATCAGAGTGTCTGGGAGTTGTTATAGTGGTGGGCATCAGAGTGGCTGGGAGTTATTATAGTGGGGGGGATCAGAGTGGCTGGGGGTTGGGGGACTGGGGGGGGTTCTTGTAAGCTGATAACAGATATTGTTACAGTAAATTAAACTCAAAGGATATGCTACTATGTGTGGGTACTGTACCACTGTATACAGAATGTGTATATATTTCAGAGGTTACATTGAATCTTGTTGGCTGGGAGTTGTTATAGAGGTGGGGATCAGAGCGGTTGGGAGTTGTTATAGTCGTGGGGATCAGAGTGGTTGGGATTTGTTATAGTGGTGGGGATTAGAGTGGCTGGGAGTTGTTTTTGTGGTGGGGATCAGAGTGGATGGGAGTTGTTATAGTGGTGGGTATCAGAGTGACTGGAAGTCATTATAGTGGTGGGAATCAGAGTGGCTGGGAGTTCTTATAGTGGTGGCGATCAGAGTGACTGGAAGTCATTATAGTGGTGGGGATCAGGGTGGTTGGGGGTTGCTATAGTGGTGGGGATCAGAGTGACTGGAAGTCTTTATAGTGGTGGGGATCAGTGGCTGGGGGTTGTTATAGTGGGGAGGATCAGAGTGGTTGGGAGTTGGTATAGTGGTGGCGATCAGAGGGGTTGGGAGTTGTTATAGTAGTGGGGATCACAGTGGTTGGGAGTTGTTATGGTGGTGTGGATCAGAGTGTCTGGGAGTTGTTATAGTGGTGGGGAGCAGAGTGACTGGAAGTCGTTATAGTGGTGGCGATCAGAGTGGGTGGGAGTTGTTATAGTGGTGGCGATCAGAGGGGTTGGGAGTCGTTCTAGGGGTGGGGATCAGAGTGGATGGGAGTTGTTATAGTGGTGTGGATCAGAGTGGCTGGGGGTTGGGGGACTGGGGGGGATTCTTGTATGCTGTTATTGTTACAGAAAATCAACCTCACAGGATATGCTACTATGTGTGGGTACTGAACCCCTGTATACAGAATGTGTATATATTTCAGAGGTTACATTGAATCTTGTGTTTGACAAAAATACCATCCTTGATATTTCAGGGATTCATACTCACACTAGTAGTTGTAACCCTCCTATCCATATGTGTTAGTTGATTATATCAGTAGCATTAGTCAGATGCATGGAACCAAATCTAAAACCTACACAGTACGTTTGACATCTCTGCAACATGTACATCCATCATATTTTAAGATTATACTATCATAACAGTAACACTGTTATCATCTGATAACAAGGTTTGGATGAGAGAAGTGTATAGTCATACATCATTTTGTGCAAGACATTTGATATCAAACATGATAAACAAATGTTTAGATGCTTTACTTGAAGAATCATGAATATCTTCTGACTGACAAAAAACAAGTGGCTCATCGATGTTGGGGTGTGGTTGTAGTTGTTTTGAAATGCACATGTGTAGTACTAGTAATCCGGCCCTTTGTGAATTTACAAAGGAGCAAAATGTAATTTGTAAACGCAACAGATGCATGCAATTCCTTGCCAAGCCTGATACATCTCGTTATATCTTTGCAAAATCTGAGCCTACAAATAGTATAAATGTTAAATTGTCATGATTCTAATCAAAAATATCTGAATACACAAATAGCAGGTGCCCTTTGGGGCGCCAACGGGGAAATTAAATTAGCATTTTATTTTCTAATATTGTCCCAAAAAATATGTTATTAAAACGACAGAAATTACCACACTATAACATCAACAACTATTTAATAACAAAAATACACACCCCTTGAAATATTACCGCTTATGCTTAAAATAATTTTCGATTTAGTATTGTCTGTGGATTTTTGAATAGACAACCACCACCCTATTTTGGACAACTGTTTAGTCACCAATAATACTGCGTCTCGTGCTGTTTAAGGGGAAATGGAAGGCGTTTGCCGACTGTTCTTACCTCCAACGACTACCAGTTTGTATTCTGTCATCGATGAGCCAGTTTGATATGTTTCCTATATTCACAAAACACAATATTCCCGTAAACTTGGATAGAATGTATTCCCTCCACTCAATCCTCTATGTCGTTACTTCGACCTTCTCGGCAGCGATCGCAGCGACACTGCTTAGAGCTCGGAAAAGCTGACCTTATTTTTCAAGCCGCACACGCTTTTTATACGAAGGTTGAGAAAGAGGCCCTGAAAGGAAATTATCTATTTTTCTGAGTCTCTGAAATAAAACTTTTAAATGGTAAATTTCCGAATTTGATTTCATGGAGCTTTTTATATTGATTTATTTAGATTAACAATTGCAAAGAGCGCTTACGTATGCCTGAAGTTTGCATATATACTGTTCCTGGCTATTAATAGATTATAAGCCCAGTGCTATTTTTAGAAAAGGTGATCTACTGGCACTGTCATGAGCTAGGAGGCCTATATGCGTCACATCTCGAATATAATAAAACACTTGAACCACGGACTTTGATAACCTAATCTAATTCCGTGCTTGAACCAATAAGATTATTATTGGCAAATCTAAATAATATTTTAGAAACAGGTTTTTTTTCAGGTACTTAGGCTCCGTAATTTCCTCAGCAGGATCTAGAAATGTTTTGGCCAAAGTCTTTGAGGTCAGTTTTCGTGTACATATCAAAAATACATTGTACACCAAATATCTCTAGCAGGGATTAAATATAAGGTCCCCAGTAGCTGTATGATATCAGCTATAAGTATAACAATGAAATAATTTTAAATCATGTATGAATTATATCCTAAAGTAAATTTTATGAAATTAGATCTAATATATGTTAATAATTATTATAGGCTAGCAGAATACATTAAACTGAAAATGAAAGATCAAGGAATTTTGAAGCAGCCAACACTATTTTAAATGCATGTGTGTTTTTTTAATGCCTTAAACATAGATGTTTCAAAAGAAACAGAAACTGCGGCTAAAAGGGGGTGGCGGAGCGGGTCCTTGTAGGGAACCCTGTCCCCACACCCATATGGAACATGAAAAGAAAAAAGACATTTGACATTATAACTGTCCAGGGCAGTGCAGAAACTTTGGTTTGTATTTATAAGATGGACGTTTGATCCTTAAAAACACGATTTTGTTTGTTTGTTTGTTTGTTTAACGACCTCGTTACCACCAGGGTCAAAAACACGATACATTAGACAATACAGATATACATGTATATCGCTCACCTATTTCATTTTAATCTAATTCCGTGGTTATTTAAATTAGACAAGAAATATAAAGTTGTTGCAAACGCAATCTTAATTTTAAGTATTATTTTGTTGTTTCACTAAACGTGATTATTTCAAATGACCGGTTTTATATTTACAGCCGGAACTAACCAGTCTGCATGTATCGGAGATAAAGATGTGACCTGATACGTCAAACCGATAGTTTATAATGTTATTTTCAGTGTAAAGTACATTCTTGAAATTCTTGACCTAAAAAAACACTTCAACAAAACGAGAGGATATTAATCTACATGTGTAAGTCAATCATGCGTGTCTATTGTCCTGTTAGTCCGAATTATTCACACGTTTTATCAGGGACGTATAGTGACTCTATATACTGTCCCTGGTTTTATCGACTTTTTTTTTGTATATCAGTCTGTTAATCGACGACAGACCGATATAAAAAAAAGTCGATAAAACGTCAGAATAATTAGGACTTTTGTCCTGTGTGTAACTATCGTAGATGTATGATCTAACGACAGTAAACGGTCGGTATACCAGCTTATTCCATTTCCATTTCGTTGCGAATTCGAGGTGGGGTGGTGTTTTTCTATTTAGTTCACCTTTCGGCGTTTTCTAATTACTGCTTTAAATGACACTGTTTGTACATATGATATGTGCAAACGTCAAGATGACATTGCTGTTTATGGCCAAAGCATAGAAATCTCTTAGGATACTGTATACATAACATTGTATGTAAATAAAACTAGTCGCGCGATTCGAAACTGACGATATGAGTAAATGATTATATGACGTCACACCTGGTCAGTCACCACAGGTGCATTATATGGCACAGGGGCTTGAGATTGGAGTATGTCAGTATTAGTTACAACAGCTAGGTTTGGACCGAAACTGCTGTGTTCAAAGTAACATTGGACGTTTGCCGAGGGTTCAGATCAACTCGGTAAAAATGACACAAAGGACAGTATATTCACTCTGAACAAATATCAGTTTCGATTCAATCATAGCTGTAGTAGCAAAATTTCGGGTCCCTGTGCATTATGCGTCTATCACAGGTAGATTCACTTGCTTACCTATGAATATTTCCCAAGGGAGGCAACTATCAAAATTGCAACCTTCGGGCAAACTGTATATATATACTTCTGTCCCTAATAACCCAACCAGTCACGCTCATATAAAACCGTTATTATACTTATACGTCTCTACTTTCCAGTGACGCAACATAGCATACACCGTATCAATCATAAAAAGGAAAGAAATAAAAAAATCTCCTCGGTTGTTTTTTTAAGTTTGATAAAATAGTGTCGTTATGTTATGTCTATGTTTAAGTACAAAATTTGATATTTTTCATATAAAAAGTCGTGTTTTACTTGTTAATAATCAGACTATACTGAGCTCCCAGAACACGGGAGATTGCTTCTAGGACCTAGTAAATTTGTTTTCCCAGCTATGGTCCCTCCCATACCTCCCCCTCCTCATGCGCTACGTGCCTCGGACGCTCGACCCTATATGTAAGCATACACTCCGAAAAATGATTTGCTACGCCACTGGTTTCAACTAATCCGTATAACGTAAAAAAAAAGAAATCGACTGAACACGTTTTAAATAGGCCTACCCCAATCATGGAGCAGTAAAATGAGTTAAGGTTCAACAACCCCCCTATAATAATAAATGCTGTAGTCACCTAAAACTTGATGTGTATATAATACAACTTTTATTTGTAATTTGAATATATTGAACTTGTACATTGTCTATTAAAAATACATTGCCGGGTAATTAACGTAGTCGAATACGAGGCTAAAGCTGATGTCTTCATAAAAACAGCTCACCGGATTTATAACATGTCGGTCTCTTTTGCGACCTAACTGAGTGCTAAGAAATTAACCATACTTTAATGAGTTTCTTTATATATACATGTACCTAGTGCATGCAGAGCTTTATTTCTCTTCTACAAGCTATTGAGAGGAATTCCTACCTCAAAGATAGATGTTGCCATGCGAAAGCAATAAAATCATATAATAAAATCCCCTGCGTAATAAATATTAGCAGATTATTCCGTCTTTGCGTATTGCAGAGTTATCTTCTCTTGGGAGCAGGGATTGATTGTTACGTCATTGGTTTGTGTGAGAAAATCACGTCGTTTTCTCAAAAATTGATGACGTTACTCTCTTAAACAAGTGACGTAACAATCAATACCTGTTATCAAGAGAAGATAACTCTGCAATATGCAAAGACGGAATAAATGAGAAAACAAAAAATAAGTAATTAACTTTGCTCGATATATGAACTATAGATGATGTGCCATTTAATAACATTCTGTGATGTTATAAATGCGCTAGACATGTTATAAACGTTGAAGCTGAAAAGTGCGATAATGTTTATAACATGTCTAGCTTTTTTTATAACAACATTAAATGTTAAGTAAGGACACTTTATATGAAGGTGATGTGGCTTTTACGGTCAAAAGTCTGTGGTTTTACATGATTGCTTACAGATGATGGTAATTCTGCATCTTGTGACATCCTTGACTTGTAGTCCGTCACTGCTGTCAATCTTGTCGCGAAGCCTCATTTGACGTCATCAGGTGATGGCCAGCCCTCTTCAGATGTTTCGACCCTTAATCACTACATCCTCCGGTTGATGGGTTGCCAAACCAGTACACGTCTATGTCGGCTTCCACATCGGCTCTTCTCGTTTGTGCCATAGGCAGCACGACGTCTGATGGCGGTAGCTTTTGCCCTCCCAGCGAGTCCTGTCGACTGTAATGTCCTCCACACTGACTGTGCGGGGAAACCTCTACAACCAACCTCCTCTGGAAAGAGCCATACTGTCCATCCTCTGCTCCTGCACTTTTCCATTAGCTCATCATACTTGGCGTTCTTCCTCTCGTGGGGTTCCTCGCAGCTCTTCCTCCCATGGAACGGTGAGCTTTATGACGATGAGGTGTCTGGATATATATACCAGTAAAAATAATGTTACTCGGGCGTTTTACTATGATTTTTGTACATTTCCATAGCAACAATCATCTACTTTTGTGCCCAGTATGCCTCTCCACACCTAGTTAAAATAGAGAAACAAAGCTCCGCATGACCTATAGGTGTATAAATGAACTTTAAACGATATGTCGATCATTTCGTAGCATTCAGTTAGGTTGCTAAAGAGATTGACATGTTATAAGTCCGGTGAGCTATTTTTATGAAGACATCAGCCTTAATGCTTTATTATTGACTACATTAACCTGGTTATGTACCTTTTAACAAGATTCAAGATTTTTTTTATTACGCTCTGACACACGAAGTGTGTAACAAGAGGTCAAACAAAATAACATCAATCAAAATAACAGGTTCTGCATATGCAACAACTAGGAAGTCGTGAAATTGGCGTGAAAATCTTAATTTCATGCTTTATGACGTCTTAATTATGCTGAGCCCGGAACTTGCCACTATCCCCCCTGCGTCATCTCCCATTGACCACGCCTGGACATGTACGATTCTTCAACGTATTTTTTTTGAAATTACACATGAATTCATCATGATAGAGACACCCATAGCGTTAGATAACACCACAAGTAAAAAAACAAAACAAAAACAGAAAACGTAAAACTTTCAGGAACACAAATTCTTGTCTCTTTCTACTATTAGCTAAATTGTAGCTATTAACGATATGTTACCAATCTTATTAAAATCCGGGTTTTCAGCACAGGGATAAATGCAGATCAAATTTCAATTTTATTTGGTATGTAATAATTTGAAAAACCAGTGTCAGTAATCGGATTCCTTAATAGATGCTTCTTACAATGTACATAGGCTTACAAGCAATTTAGGATGTCTGTCGGATTACATTAGATTGGGAAAACAAAAACTATAAGAAAAGTATAAAAATGTTTCAATAATGAATCAATAAAAAAATAAAACATAAGGATACTCGAAAAGTACAAATGCTATCCAACTTTTCTCAACCAGACAAAAAGCGGAAGACTCAGCTAGGGGTGGTGAACACATGATTGAAATTGAAAGTTTATACACGAGCTAATGAATTAGTCTAATCAAATATGCATAGGGTAAATTATTATTACGTTAAACAGTTTACAAGATCAGTGAAACTTCATTGTAGAAAATATTGGATGATTTTGAATCATAATTCATTTCATTTGAAAAAGAAAGAAAAAAATAGAAAAAAATACCGTTTTAAAACGTACTTTGCATATCAAATCTATACGTCTCTGCATATATAAAGTAAAAACCAAGTATAGTCTATTCAGTCAGAGACGTATATTATAACAAATATTGTAATATATACGTCTCTGATTCAGTTATACTTGTATTTAGGTTATTTTTCAACTTCGATCAATACTGAAAATATATTTATGCCTAGATGAATACAAGTGAAAAAAATGCGAATAAATTAGTTGTAAAACTTGTGCGTTCCTTATTTAAGTTTCCCCATCATGCATTGATGTATAATTCGGAATTGATTTTTTGTTTTGCGCGCATGAATTTTGACCCGGCAATTCGTCTCAGTCGGTGCAAAAATTACATTTTTCAGATGAGTAAACTCCTGTGTGGAGCCTCTCAGCTCTGTTAAGCGACGTATCAGAAACGCTTATCAAATGGGTGCATATTGAACGCGTCTATAAGCGTTCTGAGGACTAGATTACGTAGTGGCCGGATAGCCTCGGTTCTTTCCCTCGAAGGAGACGCGCCACGCCGTTTTAGCAAAATCCTGGAAGAGTGTCTTTCGGACTCCTCGATCCAATCGAAGCAGGTATTATTCCGAAAACCCCCTAAAACCAACTTTTACTTTACATTAGGTCTTGAATCTTGTCTAAATAGGATTTAATATATAAAAAGAGATGTTACACGAAGAAACTTTGTCCTTGAAAATATAAAACAAGATGGACGACCATTTGCTAATTTCTTCCGTCGTGAAAACGTGTTAGCTCGTCTGGGTCAGAGTTCAGTTAAAAAGTTACATACGAGAGGTTCCGATGTTCTTTACTTTCAGTTTGAGCTGAACGTAATTTTTCGACCACTTTTAAAAAAAAAATTGTGTTAAAAATTCGTCATGGCCGTTGTTTTCACTTAACCAGGTCACTGCATTAGTTCGTTACAAATGCATGTAATAAGCGTCAGTTTATGCCTATGGAGATATGATTTAACTTAACTGATAAAGGATACGTCACAGCACATATTTTAACATGTTTTCAATTTTTTATGACATTTTTTATTAGCCCTCATTATATTTATCTATATATTCTGTAATATAGAGCTTAATCACATTTTAATTGAAATGTTCAGGACCCATACTCGGTGTTATTATAGATAGGGCCTATAGGGCTATGCTATACACAAAGAGTATAGACTAAGTGTTACCCTTGAACAAATTGAAAAATCCAAATACTTCGGGGGTGGGGTG